CCCTCGGGCATCCCCATTCAATCCCTCGGGCATCCCCATTCAATCCCTCGGGCATCCCCATTCAATCCCTCAGGATTGGCCCCCCCCTCCCCATTCCTCAGGAATCCCTATCCCATCCCTTGGGCATCCCCATTCCATCCCTCAGGCATCCCCATCCCATTCCTTGGGTATCCCCATCCCCTCTCTTCCCATCCCATCCCTCGGGTATCCCCATCCCTCCCCCTCCCTCCCCATCCCGTCTCTTGGGTATCCCCATCCCTTCCCACCCCCATTCCATCTCTCCCCATCCCCTCCCTCCCCATCCCCATCCCATCTCTCCCCATCCCTCCCCATCCCTCGGGTATCCCCATCCCTCCCCTCGGGCATCCCCATTCCATCCGTCAGGATTGCCCCCCCCCCATTTCTCAGGAATCCCCATCCCATCCCTTGGAAATCCGCATCCCATCTCTCCCCATCCCTGTCCCATCCCTTGGGCATCCCCATTCCATCCCTCCCCATCCCCATCCTATTCCTTGGGCATCCCCATTCCATCCCTCAGGATTGCCCCCCCCATTCCTCAGGAATCCCCATCCCATCCCTTGGAAATCCGCATCCCATCTCTCCCCATCCCTGTCCCATCCCTTTGGAATCCCCATCCCATCCCTCCCCATCCCCATTCCATCCATCCCCATCCCATCCCTCCCCATCCCCATCCCATCCCTCCCCATCCCCATCCTATCCCTTGGGCATCCCCATTCCATCCCTCAGGCATCCCCATCCCTCCCCATCCCATCCCTTGGGTATCCCCATCCCCTCTCTCCCCATCTCCATTCCATCTCTTGGGTATCCCCATCCCTCCTCATCACCATTCTATCTCTTGGGTATCCCTATCCATCCCCATCCCATCTCTCTGGATCTTCATCCCATCTCCATCTCATCCCTCCCCATCCCCATCCCATCCCTTGGGCATCCCCATTCCATCCCTCAGGCATCCCCATCCCTCCCCATCCCATCCCTTGGGTATCCCCATCCCCTCTCTCCCCATCTCCATTCCATCTCTTGGGTATCCTCATCCATCCCCATCCCATCCCTCCCCATCCGCATCCCATCCCTCCCCCTCCCTCCCCATCCCCATCCCATCCCTTGGGTATCCCCATCCCATCCCTTGGGTATCCCCATCCCATCCCTTGGGTATCCCCATCCCCTCCCTCCCCATTCCTTGGGTATCCCCATCCCCTCCCTCCCCATCCCTTGGGTATCCCCATCCCCTCCATCCCCATCCCATCCCTTGGGTATCCCCATCCCCTCCCTCCCCCTCCCTTGGGTATCCCCATCCCCTCCCTCCCCATCCCTTGGGTATCCCCATCCCCATCCCATCCCTTGGGTATCCCCATCCCCTCCCTCCCCATCCCCATCCCTTGGGTATCCCCATCCCTCCTCCCCCCCATCCCCATTCCAGCCGTCGGGAATTCCCCCTCCCATCCCTCCCCCCCGTTCCCAGGTAAATCCAACCTCATGGACGCCATCAGCTTCGTGCTGGGGGAGAAGACGAGCAACCTGCGGGTGAAGACGCTGCGGGACCTCATCCACGGCGCCCCCGTGGGGAAGCCGGCGGCCACGCGGGCCCTGGTCAGCATGGTCTATGGGGAGGAGGGGGCCGAGGACCGCACCTTCGCCAGGGTCATCGTGGGTGAGCGGGGGGGGGGGGGGCAATTTATGGGGGGGGGCACTTAGGGAAGGCACTGGGGGGGCAGTTTGGGGGGTCCAGTTTATGGGGGGGCACTTAGGGAAGGCACTTTGGGGGCAGTTTGGGGGGTCCAATTTATGGGGGGGCACTTAGGGAAGGCACTTGGGGGGCACTTTGGGGGGGCAGTTTGGGGGGGCACTTAGGGAAGGCACTAGGGGGGCAGTTTGGGGGGTCCAATTTATCAGGGGGCACTTAGGGAAGGCACTTTGGGGGGGGAACTTGGGGGGCCGGTTTTGGGGGGTCCAATTTATGGGGGGCACTTTGGGGGGGCAGTTTGGGGGGTCCAATTTATGGGGGGGCACTTAGGGAAGGCACTTTGGGGGGCAGTTTGGGGGGGCCAATTTATGGGGGGGCACTTAGGGAAGGCACTTGGGGGGCAGTTGGGGGGGCAGTTTGGGGGGTCCAATTTATGGGGGGGCACTTAGGGAAGGCACTTGGGGGGCAGTTTGGGGGGGCAGTTTGGGGGGGTCCAATTTATGGGGGGGCACTTAGGGAAGGCACTTTGGGGGGGAACTTGGGGGGCAGTTTGGGGGGGTCCAATTTATGGGGGGCACTTAGGGAAGGCACTTGGGGGGCAGTTTGGGGGGGGCAATTTATGGGGGGGCACTTAGGGAAGGCAATTTGGGGGGGGGAACTTGGGGGGCACTTTGGAGGGGGCCAACTTATGGGGGGGCACTTAGGGAAGGCACTTTGGGGGGGGCAGTTTGGGGGGGCCAATTTATGGGGGGGCACTTAGGGAAGGCACTTGGGGGGCAGTTTGGGGGGGGCAGTTTGGGGGGTCCAATTTATGGGGGGCCACTTAGGGAAGGCACTTGGGGGGCACTTTGGGGGGGGCAGTTTGGGGGGGTCCAATTTATGGGGGGGTCACTTGGGGGAGTTCCAGTTGGGGGGGGGGGGGGGCACTTTGGGTGGGTTCCAGTCTGGGGGGCGGTGGGCAGTTGGGGGGGGTTCAAATTTATGGGGGGCAGTTTGGGGGCTGCACTTTGGGGGGGGCACTTGGAGGGTGCAGTTTGGGGGGTTCAAATTGGGGGGGGCAGTTTGGGGGGGTCCAATTTATTGGGGGGCACTTGGGGGGATTTCAGTCTGGGGAGGGGGGCACTTTGGGGCAGTTCCAGTCTGGGGGGGGGGGGGGGCACGTTGGGGGCCAGTTTGGGGGAGGCTTTTGGGGGGGCAGTTTGGGGGGAGGGGCACTTGGGGGGATGCTGTTTGGGGGGGTTCAACTTTGGGGGGGGGGGGCTCACGTTGGGGTAGTTCCACTTTGGGGGGGCTCACGTTGGGGGGCAGGTTCCAGTTGGGGGTGTTCCGCTTTGGGGTTCTTTTACTTTGGGGAGGTTCCCCTTTTGGGGGGGCTCTCACTTTGGGGGGGCCTCTCACTTTGGGGGTTCTCCCTTTTGGAGGAGGTCTCAGTTTGGGGGGGGGGGTCTCACTTTGGGGGTTTCCCCTTTGGGACGTTCCCACTTTGGGGGTTCCCCCTTTGGGGGGGGATCTCCCTTTTGGGGGGGGTTCCCCTTTGGGGGGGGGGCTCTCACTTTGGGGGTTCTCCCTTTTGGAGGAGGTCTCAGTTTGGGGGGGGGGGCTCTCACTTTGGGGGTTTCCCCTTTGGAGGGGGTCTCACTTTGGGGGTTTCCCCTTTGGGACGTTCCCACTTTGGGGGTTCCCCCTTTGGGGGGGGGATCTCCCTTTTGGGGGGGGTTCACCTTTGGGGGGGGGTCCCCCTTTGGGCTGTTCCATCTCCCCCCCCCCCCCAGGCAGCTCCTCCGAGTACAAGATCAACAACCGCGTGGTGCAGCTGAGCGAGTACAGCGAGGAGCTGGAGCGGCTCGGCATCCTCATCAAGGCCCGCAACTTCCTCGTCTTCCAGGTGGGGGGCACGGGGGGGCTCCAGGGGGGGTCAAGGGGGTTTGGGAGGGGTACAGGGGGGATTTGGGGGGGTTTAAAGGGGCTATGGGGGGGTTCAAGGGGGTTTGGGAGGGGTACGGGGGGATTTGGGGGGGTTTAAAGGGGCTATGGGGGGGTTCAAGGGGGTTTGGGAGGGGTACGGGGGGATTTGGGGGGGGTTTAAAGGGGCTATGGGGGGGTTCAAGGGGGTTTGGGAGGGGTACGGGGCGATTTGGGGGGGTTTAAAGGGGCTATGGGGGGGTTCAAGGGGGTTTGGGAGGGGTACGGGGGGGTTTAAAGGGGCTATGGGGGGGTTCAAGGGGGTTTGGGAAGGGTACAGGGGGGATTCGTGGGGGTGTAAAGGGGCTATGGGGGGGTTCAAGGGGGTTTGGGAGGGGTACAGGGGCGATTCGGGGGTGTTTAAAGGGGCTATGGGGGGGTTCAAGGGGGTTTGGGAGGGGTACGGGGGGATTCGGGGGGGGTTAAAGGGGCTATGGGGGGGTTCAAGGGGGTTATGGGGGCTTTAAGGGGGGGGTTGGGGGTGTAGATGTGGGGTTTTGGGGGGTTCAAGGGGGTTATAGGGGGGGTTGGGAGGGGTACGGGGGGTTATGGATGGGTTCAAGGGGGTTTAGGGGCCTTTAAGGGGGGTTTGGTGGTGTAGTTGTGGGGTTTGGGGGGGGTTCAAGGGGGTTTGAGTGGGGTACCAAGGGGTTATGGGGGGCTTGAAGGGGCTTATGGATGGGTTCAAGTGGCTTTTGGGGTGTTGGTGGGGGGTTAGGGTGGTTTCGGGGGGCTTTTGGGGTTGTAGATGGGGTTTATGGATGGGTTCAGGGGTGGTTGGGGGTGTAGATGGGGGTTATGGGGGGGGTTAAGGGGGTAATGGGTGGGTTTAAGGGGGTTTTGGGGGGTTCAAGGGGGTTATAGGGGGGTTTGGGAGGGGTACGGGGGGTTATGGATGGGTTCAAGTGGGTTTAGGGGCCTTTAAGGGGGGTTTGGGGGTGTAGGTGTGGGGTTTGGGGGGGGTTCAAGGGGGTTTGAGTGGGGTACCAGGGGGTTATGAGGGGCTTGAAGGGGCTTATGGATGGGTTCAAGGGGGTTTAGGGGCCTTTAAGGGGGGTTTGGGGGTGTAGATGTGGGGTTTGGGGGGGTTCAAGGGGGTTTTGGGGGGGTTCAAGGGGGTTTGGGAAGGGTACCTGGGGGTTATGGGGGGGGTACTGCGGGGTTATGGGGGGGTTATGGATGGGTTCAAGGGGGTTTAGGGGCCTTTAAGGGGGGTTTGGGGGTGTTGATGTGGGGTTTGGGGGGGTTCAAGGGGGTTTTTGGGGGTTCAAGGGGGTTTGGGAAGGGTACCTGGGGGTTATGGGCGGGTACCGCGGGGTTATGGGGGGGGGTCAAGGGGGTTATGGATGGGTTCAAGGGGGTTTGGGGGGTGTAGATGGGGGTTATGGGGGTTTCAAGGGGGTTTTGGGGGGGCTGAAGGGGGTTTGGGAGGGGTACAGGGGGGTTATGGGGGTGTACAGGGAGGTTATGGAGGGGTTCAAGGAGGTTATGGGGGGGTTCAAGGGGGTTGCTGCTATGGGGCTGCCTGCCATGTCCCCCCCCCCATTGCCACTATGGGGTTGTCCCCCATGTGTCTGTCGTCCCCCCCACCCCACTGATGCTATGGGGCCGCCCCCCATGTGTGTGTGTGTCCACCCCACCGCCGCTATGGGGTTGCTCCTCGTGTGTGTGTGTGTGTGTGTCCATTGCCGCTATGGGGCTGCCCCCCATGTGCGTGTCCCCACCCCACCGATGCTATGGGGCTGCCCCCCGTGTGTGTGTCCCCACCTCCCCGACGCTATGGGGCTGCCCCCCATGTGTGTGTGTCCCCACCCCACCGACGCTTATGGGGCTGCCCCCATGTGTGTGTGTGTTCCATTACCGCTATGGGGCTGCCCCCCATGTGTGTGTCCCCACCCCACCGACGCTATGGGGCTGCCCCCCAGGGCGCCGTGGAGTCCATCGCCATGAAGAACCCCAAGGAGCGCACGGCGCTCTTCGAGGAGATCAGCCGCTCGGGGGAGCTGGCCCTCGAGTACGACAAGAGGAAGAAGGAGATGGTGAAGGCCGAGGAGGACACGCAGTTCAACTACCACCGCAAGAAGAACATCGCCGCCGAGCGCAAGGAGGCCAAGCAGGAGAAGGAGGAGGTGCTGGGGGGGGCCTTTGGGCTCATTTCGGGGCTTTATGGGGCTCCTTCGCGGTGCTCGCGTCCCCTCCATCCCCTCCCTTTGGTCCCCTCCATCCCCTCCCTTTGGTCCCCTCCATCCCCTCCCTTTGGTCCCCTCCATCCCCTCCCTTTGGTCCCCTCCATCCCCTCCCTTTGGTCCCCTCCATCCCCTCCCTTTGGTCCTCGTCCCTTCCATTTGGTCCCCTCCATCCCCTCCCTTTGGTCCCCTCCATCCCTTCCCTATGGTCCCCTCCATCCCCTCCCTTTGGTCCCCTCCATCCCCTCCCTTTGGTCCCCTCCATCCCCTCCCTTTGGTCCCCTCCATCCCCTCCCTTTGGTCCCCTCCATCCCTTCCCTTTGGTCCCCTCCATCCCCTCCCTTTGGTCCTCGTTCCCTTCCCTTTGGTTCCCTCCATCCCTTCCCTTTGGTCCCCTCCATCCCTTCCCTTTGGTCCCCTCCATCCCTTCCCTTTGGTCCCCTCCATCCCTTCCCTTTGGTCCCCTCCATCCCTTCCCTTTGGTCCCCTCCATCCCTTCCCTTTGGTCCCCTCCATCCCTTCCCTTTGGTCCCCTCCATCCCTTCCCTTTGGTCCCCTCCATCCCTTCCCTTTGGTCCCCTCCATCCCCTCCCTTTGGTCCCCTCCATCCCTTCCCTTTGGTCCCCATTCCTCCATCCCCTCCCCTTGCACCCCCATCCCTCCTCCTACTTCATCCCTTCCCTTTGGTCCCTTCCATCCCTTCCCTTTGGTCCCTTCCATCCCTTCCCTTTGGTCCCCTCCATCCCTTCCCTTTGGTCCCCTCCATCCCTTCCCTTTGGTCCCCTCCATCCCTTCCCTTTGGTCCCCTCCATCCCCTCCCTTTGGTCCCCTCCATCCCCTCCCTTTGGTCCCCTCCATCCCTTCCCTTTGGTCCCCATTCCTCCATCCCCTCCCCTTGCACCCCCATCCCTCCTCCTCCTTCATCCCTTCCCTTTGGTCCTTCATCCCCTCCCTTTGGTCCCCATCTCTCCATCCTCTCCCTTTGCTCTCCATCCCTTTCTTTTGGTCCCCCATCCCCTCCCTTTGGTCTCCATTCCTCCATCCCTTTGGTCCCCCATTCCTGCATCCCTTTCCCTTTGCTCCCCATCCCTCCATCCCTTCCTTTTGCTCCCCATTTCTCCATCCCTTCCATTTGTTCCCCATTCCTCCATCCCTTTCCCTTTGGTCTCCATCTCTCCATCCCTTTGGTCCCCATCCCTGCATCCCTCTCCCTTTAGCTCCTTCATCCCCTCCATCCCTTTCCCTTTGGTCTCCATCCCTCCATCCCTTTGGTCCCCATCCCTGCATCCCTCTCCCTTTAGCTCCTTCATCCCCTCCATCCCTCCATCCCTTTGGTCTCCATCCCTTTGGTCTCCATCCCTTTGGTCTCCATCCCTTTGGTCTCCATCCCTTTGGTCCCCATCCCTGCATCCCTCTCCCTTTAGCTCCTCCATCCCCTCCATCCCTTTCCCTTTGGTCTCCATCCCTCCATCCCTTTGGTCCCCATCCCTGCATCTCTTTCTCTTTAGCTCCTCCATCCCCTCCATACCTTTGGTCCCCATCCCTCCATCCCTCTCCCTTTAGCTCCTTCATCTCCTCCATCCCCTCCCTTTGGTCCCCATCCCTGCATCCCTCTCCCTTTAGCTCCTCCATCCCCTCCATCCCTTTGGTCCCCATCCCTGCATCCCTCTCCCTTTAGCTCCTTCATCCCCTCCATCCCTCCATCCCTTTGGTCCCCATCCTTGCATCCCTCTCCCTTTAGCTCCTTCATCCCCTCCATCCCTCCATCCCTTTGGTCCCCATCCCTGCATCCCTCTCCCTTTAGCTCCTCCATCCCCTCCATCCCTCTCCCTTTGCTCCCCTCTAGGCCGACCGCTACCAGCGCCTCAAGGACGAGGTGGTGAGGGCCCAGGTCCAGCTCCAGCTCTTCAAGCTCTACCACAACGAAGCCGAGATCGAGAAGCTCCACAAGGAATTGGCTTCCAAGAACCGGGAGATCGACAAGGACAAGAAGAGGATGGACAAGGTGGAGGACGAGCTCAAGGACCGCAAGAAGGAGCTGGGCAAGATGATGCGGGAGCAGCAGCAGATCGAGAAGGAGATCAAGTGAGGAGCAGCGCAATGGGCACGGCCCCATGGGTCCCTCCTGGAGCCCATCACCAACGGGGGGGGGGGTTCCATAGGGAGAAGGACTCGGAGCTCAACCAGAAGCGGCCTCAGTACATCAAGGCCAAGGAGAACACGTCCCATAAGATCAAGAAGCTGGAAGCGGCCAAGAAGTCGCTGCAGAACGCGCAGAAGCAGTACAAGAAGCGCAAGGGGGACATGGATGAGCTGGAGAAGGAGATGGTGTCCGTGGAGAAAGCCCGGCAGGAATTCGAGGAGAGGATGGAAGAGGAGAGCCAGAGCCAAGGCCGGGACCTCACCTTGGAGGAGAACCAGGTAGGGTTCATCCCGATGGGCGCCATGCGGGGGTGCTGGTCCCATCCCATGGTCCCGGTCCCATCCCATGGTGCTGGTCCCATCCCACGATGCCCATCCCACGATGGCGGTCCCATCCCATGATCTCGATCCCATTCCATGATGCTGATCCCATCCTGTGATGCCCATCCCATGATGCCACTCCCATCCCATGATGCCACTCCCATCCCATGATGCTGATCCCGTTCCTTGATGCCCATCCCATGATGCCGGTCCCATCCCATGATGCCGGTCCCATCCCATGATGCTGATCCCATCCCATGATGCTGGGCCCATCCCATGATGCCCATCCCACGATGCTGATCCCATCCCATGATGCTGGGCCCATCCCATGATGCTGGGCCCATCCCATGATGCCCATGCCGCGATGCTGATCCCATCTCATGATGCCCATCCCATGATGCTGATCCCATCCCATGATGCCCATGCCGTGATGCTGATCCCATCCCATGATGCTGATCCCATCCCATGATGCCCATGCTGTGATGCTGATCCCATCCCATGATGCCCATCCCACGATGCTGATCCCATCCCATGATGCCCATCCCATGATGCTGATCCCATCCCATGATGCCCATCCCACGATGCTGATCCCATCCCATGATGCCCATCCCACGATGCTGATCCCATCCCATGATGCCCATCCCATGATGCTGATCCCATCTCATGATGCCCATCCCATGATGCTGATCCCATCCCATGATGCCCATCCCATGATGCTGATCCCATCCCACGATGCCCATCCCGTGATGCCCATGCCGTGATGCTGATCCCATCTCATGATGCCCATCCCATGATGCTGATCCCATCCCATGATGCCCATCCCATGATGCTGATCCCATCCCATGATGCCCATCCCGTGATGCCCATGCCATGATGCTGATCCCATCTCATGATGCCCATGCCATGATGCTGATCCCATCCCATGATGCCCATGCCGTGATGCTGATCCCATCCCATGATGCCCATCCCACGATGCTGATCCCATCCCATGATGCCCATCCCATGATGCTGATCTCATCTCATGATGCCCATGCCACGATGCTGATCCCATGCCACGATGCTGATCCCATGCCACGATGCTGATCCCATCCCACGATGCTGATCCCATCCCATGCCACGCTGCCGGTCCCACCCCCGGTCCCGGTCCCACTCCCACCCCATAGGTGAAGAAGTACCACCGCCTCAAGGAGGAGGCCAGCAAACGCGCGGCCACCTTGGCCCAGGAGCTGGAGAAGTTCAACCGGGACCAGAAAGCCGACCAGGACCGCTTGGACCTGGAGGAGAGGAAGAAGGTGGAGACCGAGGTGAGCTCCCACCCCCATCCCATTGCCTCCATCCCCCCCACCCCAACTTCCGTGGTCCCCCCCCTTCCATCCCCAACCTCTGCTCCTCAGGCCAAGATCAAGCAGAAGCTGCGGGAGATCGAGGAGAACCAGAAGCGCATTGAGAAGCTCGAGGAGTACATCAGCACCAGCAAGTGAGCCCCACGGGGTCCTTAGGGTGGCCATGGGGCGGCCCCCGAGGTGGCCCTCACCCCTTGGAGCCCATCGTGGTGGCCTCAGGGCGGTCTCCAAGGTGGTCCCATTGCTTGGAGCCCATCGTGGTGGCCTCAGGGCGGGCTCCAAGGTGGTCCCATTGCTTGGAGCCCATCGTGGTGGCCTCGGGGCAGTCTCAAGGGGGCCCCATCCCTGTTCCTCCATCCCTTGGGACAGCCCTTGAGGTCTCCCCTATCCTTCTTCCTCCATCTCCATCCCTTGGCACCATCCCTGAGGTGTCCCCATCCCTTTCCCTCCATCTGCATCCCTTGGGACCATCCCTTGAGGTCTCTCCCATCCCTTCCCCTCCATCTGCATCCCTTGGGACACCCCTTGAGGTCTCCCCCATCCCTTCCCCTCCATCTGCATCCCTTGGGACACCCCTTGAGGTCTCTCCCATCCCTTCCCCTCCATCTGCATCCCTTGGGACACCCCTTGAGGTCTCTCCCATCCCTTCCCCTCCATCTGCATCCCTTGGGACACCCCTTGAGGTCTCCCCCATCCCTTCCCCTCCATCTGCATCCCTTGGGACACCCCTTGAGGTCTCTCCCATCCCTTCCCGTCCATCTGCATCCCTTGGGACACCCCTTGAGGTCTCTCCCATCCCTTCCCCTCCATCTCCATCCCTTGGGACACCCCTTGAGGTCTCCCCCATCCCTTCCCCTCCATCTGCATCCCTTGGGACACCCCTTGAGGTCTCTCCCATCCCTTCCCCTCCATCTGCATCCCTTGGGACACCCCTTGAGGTCTCTCCCATCCCTTCCCCTCCATCTGCATCCCTTGGGACACCCCTTGAAGTCTCTCCCATCCCTTCCCCTCCATCTCCACCCCCTTGCCACCATCCCCTCCGCATCCCCCATCCCTTCTCCCTGCCCAACACCAAGCCCGCAGCGGTCCCCAGGGCTCATCCTTCTCCCCATTCCCCCCCACCCCATTGCAGGCAGTCCCTGGAGGAGCAGAAGCGCCTGGAGGGGGAGCTGACGGAGGAGGTGGAGCTGGCCAAGCGCCGCATCGACGAGATCAACAAGGAGCTCAACCAAGTGATGGAGCAGCTGGGGGACGCCCGCATCGACCGCCAGGAGAGCAGCCGCCAGCAGCGCAAGGCCGAGATCATGGACAGCATCAAGAGGCTTTACCCCGGCTCCGTGGTGAGGCCTGGAGCTGGGATCCCCCCCTCCCTTGGATCCTTTGGGTTTGGGTCTTCCCAGCTTCCAGGGGGTGGGAAGGAGCGGAGCGTCCTCCGGGTCCAGCGCTTGGCTTGGGTCTCCTATGGGGTTGGAAGGATCTCAGCGTCATCCAGGTCCAACCATGGGCACCTTGGACCTTCTCCATCCAACCATCCCAGTGCCCTCATGGAATGGGTTGGGTTGGAAGGACCTCAACATCATCCAGGTCCAACCATGGGCACCTTGGACCTTCTCCTTCCAACCCATCCCAGTGTCCTCATGGATGGGTTGGGTTGGAAGGACCTCAACATCATCCAGGTCCAACCATGGGCACCTTGCTCCAACCTGGCCAGGATGGAGCATCCCAAACTGGCTCCATTTAACCCATCCTAGTGTCTTCATAGAGTCATGGAATGGGTTGGGTTGGGAATGACCTGAGCATCATCCAGGTCCAACCATGGGCACCTTGGACCTTCTCCTTCCAACCATCCCCAGTGCCCTCATGGAATGGGTTGGGTTGGAATGACCTCAACATCATCCAGGTCCAACCATGGGCACCTTGCTCCAACCTGACCAGGATGGAGCATCCCAAACTGGCTCCATTTAACCCATCCCAGTGTCTTCATAGAGTCATGGAATGGGTTGGGTTGGGAATGACCTGAGCATCATCCAGGTCCAACTATGGGCACCTTGGACCTTCTCCATCCAACCCATCCCAGTGTCCTCATGGAATGGGTTGGGTTGGAAGGATCTCAGCATCATCCAGGTCCAACGATGGGCACCTTGGACCTTCTCCATCCAACCCATCCCAGTGTCCTCATGGATGGGTTGGGTTGGAAGGACCTCAGCATCATCCAGGTCCAACCATGGGCACCTTGCTCCAACCTGGCCAGGATGGAGCATCCCAAACTGGCTCCATTTAACCCATCCCAGTGTCTTCATAGAGCCATGGAATGGGTTGGGTTGGGAATGACCTGAGCATCATCCAGGTCCAACCATGGGCACCTTGGACCTTCTCCTTCCAACCCATCCCAGTGCCCTCATGGAATGCGTTGGGTTGGAAGGACCTCAGCATCATCCAGGTCCAACCATGGGCACCTTGCTCCAACCTGGCCAGGATGGAGCATCCCAAACTGGCTCCATTTAACCCATCCTAGTGTCTTCATAGAGTCATGGAATGGGTTGGGTTGGGAATGACCTGAGCATCATCCAGGTCCAACCATGGGCACCTTGGACCTTCTCCTTCCAACCATCCCAGTGCCCTCATGGAATGCGTTGGGTTGGAAGGACCTCAGCATCATCCAGGTCCAACCATGGGCACCTTGCTCCAACCTGGCCAGGATGGAGCATCCCAAACTGGCTCCATTTAACCCATCCCAGTGTCCTCATAGAGTCATGGAATGGGTTGGGTTGGGAATGACCTGAGCATCATCCAGGTCCAACCATGGGCACCTTGGACCTTCTCCTTCCAACCATCCCAGTGCCCTCATGGAATGGGTTGGGTTGGAAGGACCTCAACATCATCCAGGTCCAACCATGGGCACCTTGGACCTTCTCCTTCCAACCATCCCAGTGCCCTCATGGAATGGGTTGGGTTGGAAGGACCTCAACATCATCCAGGTCCAACCATGGGCACCTTGGACCTTCTCCTTCCAACCATCCCAGTGCCCTCATGGAATGGGTTGGGTTGGAAGGACCTCAACATCATCCAGGTCCAACCATGGGCACCTTGCTCCAACCTGACCAGGATGGAGCATCCCAAACTGGCTCCATTTAACCCATCCCAGTGTCTTCATAGAGTCATGGAATGGGTTGGGTTGGGAATGACCTGAGCATCATCCAGGTCCAACCATGGGCACCTTGGACCTTCTCCATCCAACCCATCCCAGTGTCCTCATGGAATGGGTTGGGTTGGAAGGATCTGAGCATCATCCAGGTCCAACCATGGGCACCTTGGACCTTCTCCATCCAACCCATCCCAGTGTCCTCATGGATGGGTTGGGTTGGAAGGACCTCAGCATCATCCAGGTCCAACCATGGGCACCTTGCTCCAACCTGGCCAGGATGGAGCATCCCAAACTGGCTCCATTTAACCCATCCCAGTGTCTTCATAGAGCCATGGAATGGGTTGGGTTGGGAATGACCTGAGCATCATCCAGGTCCAACCATGGGCACCTTGGACCTTCTCCATCCAACCCATCCCAGTGTCCTCATGGAATGGGTTGGGTTGGAAGGATCTCAGCATCATCCAGGTCCAACCATGGGCACCTTGCTCCAACCTGGCCGGGATGGAGCATCCCAAACCTTCTCCATCCAACCCATCCCAGTGTCCTCATGGGGCAAACCCCCCTTAGATCCAAGCTAAACGTTCCCTGTTCCCATTGAACCCCATCACCGGATGGAGGCACCCCTCCAGCATCCCCGCATCCCCCTTCCCACCCTGCCTGGCTCCATATGGGCTCCCTACATCCTTCCATGGGGACCCCCAGAACAAAACCTCCCAACACCCCCCCCCGTTATCCTTCCGTGGGGTGCCTGGAGGTTGATTTTGGGGGTGCCCCCCCCCCCGTGTGCCGCAGTACGGGCGCCTCATCGACCTGTGCCAGCCCACCCAGAAGAAGTACCAGATCGCCGTCACCAAGGTGCTGGGCAAGAACATGGATGCCATCATCGTGGACTCGGAGAAGACGGGCAGGGATTGCATCCAGTACATCAAGGAGCAGCGCGGCGAGCCCGAGACCTTCCTGCCCCTCGACTACCTGGAGGTGGGGTTTGGGGCGGGGGGGGAGTCCCCATTGAACACTGTGGGTCCTACAAAGGGAGCTGGAGGGTTCTGTTGAACCCTTAGGGTTTTACAAAGGGGTTTTGGGGGTCCCCATTGAACCCCTTGGTCCCCTTCGCTATCCCCATTGTTCTGGGGGTCCCTATGGACCTCACATCCACCCCTGATGCTTGGGTCCCCCCCTTGACCCCCAGTGGTCCCCTTACCCATCCCCATTGTTTTGGGGGTCCCTATGGACCTCACATCCACCCCTGATGCTCGGGTCCCCCCCTTGACCTCCAGTGGTCCCCTTTACCCATCCCCATTGTTTTGGGGGTCCCCATGGACCTCACATCCACCCCTGGTGCTTGGGGCTCCCCATTGAACCCCATGGGCTTCATATCCACCCTTGATGCTTGGGGGTCCCCATTGTACCCCATGGGCTTCATGTCCACCCTTGATGCTTGGGGGTCCCCATTGTACCCCATGGGCTTCGTATCCACCCTTGGTGATGGGGGGTCCCCACTGAGCCCCATGGACCTCACATCCACCCCTGATGCTCAGCTCCCCCCATTGAACCCCCTTGGTCCTCTTACCCATCCCCATTGTTTTGGGGGTCCCCATGGACCTCACATCCACCCCTGATGCTCGGGGGGCCCCATTGAACCCCATGGACCTCCCATCCACCCCTGATGTTTGGGGGTCCCCATTGAACCATATGGTCCCCTTACCCATCCCCATTGTTTTGGGGCTCACTTTGGACCTCACATCCACCCCTGATGCACAGCTCCCCCCGTTGAACCCCCTTGGTCCTCTTACCCATCCCCATTGTTTTGGGGGTCCCCATGGATCTCACATGCACCCCTGATGCTCAGCTCCCCCCATTGAACCCCCTTGGTCCTCTTACCCATCCCCATTGTTTTGGGGGTCCCCATGGACCTCACATGCACCCCTGATGCTCAGCTCCCCCCATTGAACCCCCTTGGTCCTCTTACCCATCCCCATTATTTTGGGGCTCCCTTTGGACCTTGCATCCACCCCTGATGCTCATCTCCCCCCATTGAACCCCCTTGGTCCTCTTACCCATCCCCATTGTTTTGGGGGTCCCCATGGACCTCACATGCACCCCTGATGCTCAGCTCCCCCCATTGAACCCCCTTGGTCCTCTTACCCATCCCCATTGTTTTGGGGCTCCCTTTGGACCTCACATCCACCCCTGATGCTCGGGGGTCCCCACTGAGCCCCATGGACCTCCCATCCACCCCTGATGTTTGGGGGTCCCCATTGAACCATATGGTCCCCTTACCCATCCCCATTGTTTTGGGGCTCCCTTTGGACCTCACATCCACCCCTGATGCTCAGCTCTCCCCATTGAACCCTCTTGGTCCTCTTACCCATCCCCATTGTTTTGGGGCTCCCTTTGGACCTCACATCCACCCCTGATGCTCGGGGGTCCCCATTGAACCCCATGGACCTCCCATCCACCCCTGATGTTTGGGGGTCCCCATTGAACCATATGGTCCCCTTACCCATCCCCATTGTTTTGGGGCTCACTTTGGACCTCACATCCACCCCTGATGTTTGGGGGTCCCCATTGAACTGTATGGTCCCCTTACCCATCCCCATTGTTTTGGGGCTCCCTTTGGACCTCACATCCACCCCTGATGCTCAGCTCCCCCCATTGAATCCCCTTGGTCCTCTTACCCATCCCCATTGTTTTGGGGCTCCCTTTGGACCTCACATCCACCCCTGATGCTCGGGGGGCCCCATTGAACCATATGGTCCCCTTACCCATCCCCATTGTTCTGGGGGTCCCTTTGGACCTCCCATCCACCCCTGATGCTCAGCTCCCCCCATTGAACCCCCTTGGTTCTCTTACCCATCCCCATTGTTTTGGGGCTCCCTTTGGACCTCACATCCACCCCTGATGCTCAGGGGTCCCCACTGAGCCCCATGGACCTCCCATCCACCCCTGATATTTGGGGGTCCCCATTGAACCATATGGTCCCCTTACCCATCCCCATTGTTTTGGGGCTCCCTTTGGACCTCACATCCACCCCTGATGCTCGGGGGTCCCCACTGAGCCCCATGGACCTCCCATCCACCCCTGATGCTCGGGGGTCCCCATTGAACCCCATGAACCTCCCATCCACCCCTGATGCTCAGCTCCCCCCATTGACCCCCTATAGTTCCCTTTACCCATCCCCATTCTTTCGGGGCCGGGGGGGGGGGGGGGTGCTCCCTCCTGACCCCCAACCCCCCCAGGTGAAACCCACTGACGAGAAGCTCCGCGAGCTGAAGGGGGCCAAGCTGGTGATCGACGTGATCCGCTACGAGCCCCCCCACATCAAGAAGGCCCTGCAATACGCCTGCGGCAACGCGCTCGTCTGCGACAACGTGGAGGACGCGCGGCGCATCGCCTTCGGGGGCCACCAGCGCCATAAGGTAAACCCACCCCCCCCCCCTTCACCCCACAATGGACCCTTCCAACCTCACCCCCCCCACACACACACACTTTGCATCCCCATAGACGGTGGCGCTGGACGGGACCTTGTTCCAGAAGTCGGGGGTGATCTCGGGGGGGGCCAGCGACCTGAAGGCCAAAGCGCGGCGCTGGGACGAGAAGGCCGTGGATAAGCTCAAGGAGAAGAAGGAGAGGCTGACGGAGGAGCTCAAGGTGGGGAAAAAGGGGGGGGGGGGTCCCCTTTGCATCCCCAAAAGGATGTGGCTTGGGGTGAAGGGGGCTTCTGGAGCGCCCACACACACAAAAGGCACCCAATGGGGACCCCAAAGGCTGCGCCCATGAGGCTCTGGGGGAGCCTCTTGCACCCCAGAGGGCTTCCCCTTTCCCATCCCCTTTCCCCCCCCTTTCCTATCCCCATTCATCCCCTTTCTGCCCCCATTCATCCCCTTGTCTTCTCTCCAATTCATCCCCCTTCCCTCTATGCCCTTCCCCCCCCCATTTACTTCCCCCCATCCATCCCCTTTCCCCCCCATCCATCCCCTTTCCCCCCATCCATCCCCTTTCTCCCCCCATCCATCCCCTTTCTCCCCCCATCCATCCCCTTTCCCCCCCATCCATCCCCTTTCCCCCCCATCCATCCCCTTTCCCCCCCATCCATCCCCTTTCCCCACATCCATCCATCCCCTTTTCTCCATCCCTTTTCTCCCCCCATCCATCCCTTTCTCCCCCATCCATCCCCTTTCTCCCCCCATCCATCCCCTTTCCCCCCATCCATCCCCTTTCCCCCCATCCATCCCCTTTCCCTCATCCATCCCCTTTCCCCACATCCATCCCCTTTCTCCATCCCCTTTCTCCCCCCATCCATCCCCTTTCTCCCCCCATCCATCCCCTTTCTCCCCCCATCCATCCCCTTTCCCCCCCATCCATCCCCTTTCCCCCCCATCCATCCCCTTTCCCCCCCATCCATCCCCTTTCCCCCCCATCCATCCCCTTTCCCCCCCATCCATCCCCTTTCCCCCCCATCCATCCCCTTTCCCCCCATCCATCCCCTTTCCCTCATCCATCCCCTTTCCCCCCATCCATCCCCTTTCCCCCCATCCATCCCCTTTCCCCCCATCCATCCCCTTTCCCCCCATCCATCCCCTTTCCCCCCCATCCATCCCCTTTCCCCCCATCCATCCCCTTTCCCTCATCCATCCCCTTTCCCTCATCCATCCCCTTTCCCCACATCCATCCCCTTTCTCCATCCCCTTTCTCCCCCCATCCATCCCCTTTCTCCCCCCATCCATCCCCTTTCTCCCCCCATCCATCCCCTTTCTCCATCCCCTTTCTCCCCCCATCCATCCCCTTTCTCCCCCCATCCATCCCCTTTCCCCCCCATCCATCCCCTTTCCCCCCATCCATCCCCCTTCTCCCCCATCCATCCCCCTTTCCCCCCATCCATTGCCTTTTTCCTCCATTCACCCCTTCTTCCTATCCATCCCTTCCCCCCCATATCCACCCCATTCCCCCCATCCATCTCCTTTCCCCCCATTCACCCCCTTTTACCCCCTTATTCACCCCATTTCCCCCATCAACCCCTTTCCCCCCCCATATTCACCCCATTCCCCCCCATATCCACCCCATTCCCCACCCCATTTCCCCCCCCCAGGAGCAGATGAAGGCCAAGCGGAAGGAAGCGGAGCTGCGCCAGGTCCAGTCCCAAGCCCACGGCCTCCAAATGCGCCTCAAGTACTCCCAAAGCGACCTGGAACAGACCAAAACACGGCACCTGGCCCTCAACCTCCAGGTACCCCCGGGGGAGAGGGGGGCATTTTAGGGGATCCCCTTTTTTGGGGGGATTTCACCCCGTTTTGGGGCTCTTTTTGGCTGTTACAAGCCAAGACCGCGCTCGTTGCGTTGGGTGCGAGTGGTACCCAAGGGGTGTTTTGTGGGGATTTTGGGATGGAAAAAGTGGATTTTGGGGTGAAAAAAGGGGATTTTGGGGTGCGGGGGGGGTGTGGCCATCTCCAACCCCCGTTTTCATGCAGGAGAAGTCAAAACTTGAGAGCGAATTGGCCAATTTTGGGCCTCGCATCAATGACATCAAAAGGATCATCCAGGGCCGGGAGCGGGAGATGAAGGACCTCAAGGAGAAGATGAACCAGGTTGATGGATGGGAGGGGGCGGTGTCTATAGGGTAAAATGGGGGGGCCGGGATGTGGGGGGTCCCCATGGGGTGACATTGGGGTCCCTCCCCCAGGTGGAGGATGAGGTTTTTGAGGAGTTTTGCCGGGAAATCGGGGTCCGGAACATCCGGGAATTCGAGGAGGAAAAGGTCAAGAGACAGAACGAGATCGCCAAGAAGAGGTGGGGGGCACCCCAGAACTGGGGGGGGGGGGGGGGTGTGTTACAAAGCATGTCCCCCCCCCCCCACCTCTATGGGGCAGAGCCTGGCCCTGGCCACAGGCTGTGGGGTACCCACTGATGCCATGGGGCAGCCGCTGAACACAGGGACCCACCCCACCTCCCAAGACCTTGAAACCCCCCCCAAGAGACCCCCATGACCTTGACCCCCCCCCAGCACGTTGAGGACCCCCCCAAACCCCCCCAAGACCTTGAGAACCCCTCCAAAACCCCCCGAACCCCTTGAGCTCCCCATATCACCTTGAGGACCCCCCTAAACCCCCCCCATCACCCTGAGGACCCTCCCCCATCACTCTGAGGACACCCCCTAAACCCCCCCCATCACCTTGAGGACCCCCCCAGCCCCTGAGGGCCCCCCTAAACCCCCTCAACCCCCCCATCACCTTGGGGACCCCCCCATCACTTTGGGCCCCCCCCATCACCTTGGGGACCCCCCCCATCACTTTGGGCCTCCCCCCATCACCTTGGGCCCCCCCTCCTCATCACTTTGGGTCTCCCCTCTCCATCACTTTGGGCCCCCCTCCCCATCACTTTGCCCCCCCCATCACCTTGGGGACCCCCCCCATCACCTTGGGCCCCCCCCATCACTTTGGCCCCCCTCATCACCTTGGGCCCCCCCTCCCCATCACTTTGGGTCTCCCCTCTCCATCACTTTGGGCCCCCCCCATCACCTTGGCCCCCCCCCCCCCATCACTTTGCCCCCCCCCCCTCCATCACTTTGGGCCCCCCCCCATCACCTTGGGGACCCCCCCCCATCACTTTGCCCCCCCCCCATCACCTTGAGGACCCCCCCATCACTTTGGGGCCCCCCCCCATCACCTTGGGCCCCCCCATCACTTTGGGCCCCCCCCCATCACCTTGGGGACCCCCCCCATCACTTTGCCCCCCCCCCATCACTTTGGGCCCCCTCCCATCACTTTGGGGACCCCCCCCATCACCTTGGGGACCCCCCCGTTGCAGGCTGGAGTTCGAGAACCAGAAGACGCGGCTGGGGATCCAGCTGGACTTCGAGCGGAACCAACTGCGGGAGGACCAGGAGAAGGTGGCCATGTGGGAGCAGGGCGTGCGCAAGGACGAGGCCGAGATCGAGAAGCTCAAGAAGGTCCTGATCCCGTGGGAATGGGGTGGGAATGGGGATGGGAATGGGAATGGGAATGGGAATGGGAACGGGATGGATGGAGCTCAGGGGGGAGCAGGGCGTGCGCAAGGACGAGGCCGAGATCGAGAAGCTCAAGAAGGTCCTGATCCCGTGGGAATGGGAATGGGAATGGGGATGGGAATGGGAACGGGATGGATGGGAATGGGAATGGGATGGATGGGATGGGAATGGGAATGGGGATGGGATGGATGGAGCTCAGGGGGGAGCAGGGCGTGCGCAAGGACGAGGCCGAGATCGAGAAGCTCAAGAAGGTCCTGATCCCGTGGGAATGGGGATGGGAATGGGGATGGGATGGAGGGGAATGGGGATGGGAATGGGAACGGGATGGATGGGAATGGGAACGGGATGGATGGAGCTCAGGGGGGAGCAGGGCGTGCGCAAGGACGAGGCCGAGATCGAGAAGCTCAAGAAGGTCCTGATCCCGTGGGAATGGGAATGGGAACGGGGATGGGATGGATGGGAATGGGAACGGGAATGGGATGGATGGAGCTCAGGGGGGAGCAGGGCGTGCGCAAGGACGAGGCCGAGATCGAGAAGCTCAAGAAGGTCCTGATCCCATGGGAATGGGGATGGGGATGGGAATGGGAATGGGAACGGGAATGGGAATGGGATGGATGGGAATGGGAACGGGATGGATGGAGCTCAGGGGGGAGCAGGGCGTGCGCAAGGACGAGGCCGAGATCGAGAAGCTCAAGAAGGTCCTGATCCCATGGGAATGGGGATGGGGATGGGGAGGGGAATGGGATGGATGGGGTGATGGGATGGGGTTATGGGATGGAAGAGGCTTGTGGGATGGGGTTATGGAATGGGGTTATTGGATGGAGGGGGTTATGGTCTGGAGGGGGTCATTATGGTCTGGAGGGGTCATTATGGTCTGGAGAGGGTCATTATGGTCTGGAGGGGTCATTATGGTTTGGAGGGGTCATTATGGTCTGGAGGGGGTCATTATGGTTTGGATGGAGTCATTATGGTCTGGAGGAGTCGATGGGCTGGATGGGGTCATTATGGTCTGGAGGGGTCATTATGGTCTGGAGGGTTCATTATGGTCTGGAGGGAGTCATTATGGGCTGGAGGGGTCATTATGGTCTGGAGGGGGTCATTATGGTCTGGAGGGGTCATGGGCTGGATGGGGTCATTATGGTCTGGAGGGGGTCATGATGGGCTGGGGGGCTCATTATGATCTAGATGGAGTCATTATGGGCTGGGGGGGGTTGTGATGGTCTGGATGGAGTCATTATGGTCTGGAGGGCTCATTATGGGCTGGTGAGGGTCATGATGGTCTGGAGGGCTCATTATGGGTTGGATGGAGTCATTACGGTCTGGAGGGCTCATTATGGGCTGGAGGGTTCATTATGGGCTGGAGAGGGTCATTATGGGCTGTAGGGCTCATTATGGGCTGGAGGGCTCATTATGGGCTGGAGAGGGTCATGATGGTCTGGAGGGCTCATTATGGGTTGGATGGAGTCATTACGGTCTGGAGGGCTCATTATGGGCTGGAGGGGGTCATTACGGTCTGGAGGGCTCATTATGGGCTGGAGGGCTCATTATGGGTTGGATGGAGTCATTACTGTCTGGAGGGCTCATCATGGGCTGGAGGGCTCATTATGGGCTGGAGGGCTCATCATGGGCTGGCTGCGGCGCAGGAGGAGCAGCGGCACATGAAGATCATCGACGAGACGATGGCGCAGCTGCAGGACCTCAAGAACCAGCACCTGGCCAAGAAGTCCGAGGTGAACGACAAGAACCACGAGATGGAGGAGATCCGCAAGAAGCTGGGCGGGGCCAACAAGTGAGGGCGGGGCCAAGGGGAGGGGCTGGTGCGATTGGGGCGTGGCTAAGGGAATGGGAGGGGCTATGGGGCTGGTAAGGGGGGTTAAAGGGGAATGGGAGGGGCTGTGGGGCTTGGGGGTGGGGCTAAAAGGGAATGGGAGGGGTTATGGGCTTGGGGGTGGGGCTAAATGAAAATGGGTGGGGCTAAATGGAAATGGGAGGGGCTAAAGGGGACCTGGAGAGGCAGTGGGGCTTGTGGGTGGGGTTAAGGGGGAACAGGAAGGGCTATGGGGCTTGTAGGTGGGCTTAATGGGTTCTGGGAGGGGCTGCGGGGCTTGTGGGTGGGGTTAAAGGGGAATGGGAGGGGTTATGGGGCTTGGGGGTGGGGCTAAAGGGGAATAGGAGGGGTTATGGGGCTTGTGGGTGGGGCTAAATGAAAATGAGTGGGGCTAAATGGAAATGGGAGGGGCTAAAGGGGAATTGGAGAGGCAATGGGGCTTGTGGGTGGGGTTAATGGGTTCTGGGAGGAGCTGTGGGGCTTGTGGGTGGGGTTAAAAGGGGAATGGGAGGAGCTAAAGGGAAATGGGAGGGGTATGGGGCCTTGGAGGCGGGGCTAAGGGGGGGAACGGGCGTGGCTAGCGGCGGCCCTGGCCCCGCAGGGAGATGACCCACCTGCAGAAGGAGGTGACGGCCATCGAGACGAAGCTGGAGCAGAAGCGCAGCGACCGCCACAACCTGCTGCAGGCCTGCAAGATGCAGGACATCAAACTGCCCCTCTCCAAGGGCACCATGGACGACATCAGCCAGGAGGAGGTGGGTGCTGGGGGGGGGGGGGAAAGGGGGGGGTTACAGGGGGTTGGGGACCCCCCCTCACCCCCCTATGTCCTCTGTGCCCCCCCCAATGCAGGGAGGTGCAGGAGGGGAGGAGGCCGTGGGCAGCTCCCAGCGCTCCTCCAGCCTCTACGCCCGCGAGGCGCTCATCGAGATCGACTACAGCGACCTGCCCGAGGAGCTCAAGGTGTGCCACGCCCACTCCTGGCCACGCCCACTTCCTTCTGGCTCCTCCCACTTCCTTCTGTCCCCACCCACTTCCTTCTGTCCCCACCCACTTCCTTCTCATCCCTCCTACTCCCTTCAGGCTCCTCCTACTCCCTTCAGGCTCCTCCTACTCCCTTCAGGCTCCTCCTACTCCCTTCAGGCTCCTCCTACTCCCTTCAGGCTCCTCCTACTCCCTACTGGCCCCTCCCACTCCCTACTGGCCCCTCCCACTTCTGACCCCGCCCACTTCTTTCTGACCGCTCCCACTTCTTTCTGGCTCCTCCTACTTTCTTCTGGCTCCTCCTGCGTCCTTCTGGCCCCTCCCACTTTCCTCACCTAATTTCATTAGCATACCAAGCCCTGCCCCCCTGGAGTCAAGGCCCTGCCCACTGTGCCCAGGCCCCACCCCCTTAAGCACAAAGTCCCCCTGACTAAAGCCACACCACCCTGATGGAGGCCACGCCCCCTTGATAGAAGCCACGCCCCTCATCGTCTCCTATAAGGCTTTAGTCTTAGTCATCAATGGTAGGCACGCCCCCTTAATAGAAGCCACGCCCCCTGCATTGAAGCCGCTCCCAATCCAAAGCCACGCCCCCTTGACAGAAGCCACGCCCCTCATCATCTCCCGTAAGGCTTTATTCATAGTCAACAATGGAGGCGAAAGCCACGCCCCCTTTGCCAAAGGCCACGCCCCTCATCGTCTCCTATGAGGCTTTAGTCATAGTCCTCAATGTAAGACACGCCCCCTCCATTGAGGCCACTCCCTCTGCCGAGCGAGAGCCCCGCCCCCTCACCGGAGCCCCGCCCCCTCACCCAAGGCCCCGCCCCCTTGCAGGACGCGCAGGCCGAGGAGGAGATCCGGCAGGAGATGAACCAGCTGCAGCAGCGGCTGACGGAGCAGCAGAGCGTGCTCCAGCGCATCGCCGCGCCCAACATGAAGGCCATGGAGAAGCTGGAGAGCGTCCGGGACAAGTTCCAGGAGACCTCGGATGGTGCGGGGGGGACAGGGATACGGGGTACAGGGATATGGGGATACGGGGGTACAGTGGTACGGGGATACAGTGTTACGGGGATGCAAGGATAGAGGGATACAGTGGTACGGGGATACAGTGGTACAGGGATGCAGGGGTATAGGGATGAAGAGATGCGGGGATAGAGGGATATAGGGATGTAGGGATACAGGGATAGAGGAATACAGGGATGAAGGGATACAGGGATACAAGGATGAAGCAATGTGGGGATACAGGGATGAAGAGATGTGGGGATAGAGGGATATAGGGATACAGGGGTGCGGGGATATAGGGATGAAGGGATACAGGGATGCGAGGATACAAGGATGAAGGGATGTGGGGATACATAGGGATAAAGGGATACAGGGGTAGACCAGGCAGTCACCGGGGATGTGTCAAGATGCAGGGAGATGTGGGGACACTGATATAGGGATGTGGGGATACAGGGATAGAGGAATACAGGGATGAAGGGATACAAGGATGAAGCGATGTGGGGATACAGGGATGAAGAGATGTGGGGATAGAGGGATATAGGGATACAGGGATGTGGGGATATAGGGATGAAGGGATATGGGGATGCGAGGATACAAGGATGAAGGGATGTGGGGATACACATAGGGATAGAGGGATACAGGGGTAGACCAGGCAGTCACCGGGGATGTGTCGAGATGCAGGGAGATGGGACACTGATATAGGGATGTGGGGATACAGGGATGGCAGAGGTGGGGTAGACCAGGCAGACACTGGGCATGTGGGGATACAGGGACATGGGGACATGGGATGTGGCAACACTGGATATAGGGATATAGGGATATGGGGATATCAGGGATATAGGGACATAGGGACATGGAAGGGATGTGAGGATACAGGGACATGGGGATGGCAGAGGTGGGGTAGACGAGGCAGACACCGGGGATGTGTCAATAGGAGATACAGGGGGATGTGGGGATACCAGGGATACAGAGATATGGGGACGTGGATGTGGGGACACTGGATATAGGAATATGGGGATATCAGGGATACAGGGACATAGGGACATGGAAGGGATGTGAGGGATACAGGGAGACACAGGGATGTCCGAGATGGGGTAGACCAGGCAGACCCCGCGCACGTGTCAACAGGAGATACAGGGGGATGTGGGGATACCAGGGATAGAGAGACATGGGGATGTGGATGTGGGGACACTGGATATAGGAATGTAGGGATACAGGGACATGGGGACATTGATGTGGGGACACTGGCTGTAGGAATGTGGGGATACAGGGACATGGGGACATGGATGTGGGGACACTGGATATAGGAATGTGGGGCTACAGAGACATGGGGACATGAATGTGGGGATACTCCCTATAGGAATGTGGGGATACAGGGACATGGGGACATTGAAAGGATGTGGGGACACTGGCTATAGGAATGTGGGGCTACAGAGACATGGGGACGTGGATGTGGGGATACTCCCTATAGGAATGTGGGGATACAGGGACATGGGAACGTGGATGTGGGGACACTGGATATAGGGATATGGGGATACAGGGACATGTGGACATTGAAGGGATGTGGGGACACTGGCTATAGGAATGTGGGGATACAGGGACATGGGAACGTGGATGTGGAGACACTGGCTATAGGAATGTGGGGATACAGGGACATGGGGACATGGCTGTGGGGACACTGGATATAGGGATATGGGGATACAGGGACATGTGGACATTGAAGGGATGTGGGGACACTGGGGAATGTGGGGATACAGGGGGACACGGGGATGGCAGAGGTGGGGTAGACCAGGCAGACCCCGCGCACGTCTCACTAGGCGACGCAGCGATACCGGTGCGGGTACCACCGGTGCTGCTGGGCAGGGGGACCCCCCCGTTGCCCCATTGCCCCCCCATGTCCCCACTGATGCCCCCCCCCTCCCCTCCTCGGTGTGGGCAGAGTTCGAGGCGGCCCGGAAGCGGGCCAAGAAGGCGAAGCAGGCCTTCGAGCAGATGAAGAAGGAGCGCTTCGACCGCTTCACCGCCTGCTTCGAGGCCGTGGCCACCAACATCGACGAGATCTACAAGGCCTTGTCCCGCAACAGCAGCGCCCAGGTCAGGGCCAGCCCCCCCAAAATAGGGGGGGTCTGTAGGGGGATACGTGGGGGTTACATAGGGGGTTATATAGGGGTTCTAAAGAGGGTTACATGGGGGTCACGTAGGGGTTATGTAGGGGGATACATGGGGGTTACATAGGGGGTTATATAGGGGGATACGTGGGGGTTACATAGGGGTTATGTAGGGGGATACATGGGGGTTACATAGGGGTTACATAGGGGATTATATAGGGGTTCTAAAGAGGGTTACATAGGGGTTATGTAGGGGGATACATGGGGGTTACATAGGGGGTTATATAGGGGGATACATGGGGGTTCTGTAGGGGTTACATAGGGGTTCTAAAGAGGGTTACATAGGGGGTTATATCGGGGGATACATGGGGGTTATGTTGGGGGTTACATAGGGGTTATGTTGGGGGTTACATAGGGGTTTACATGGGGGTTACATAGGGGTTATGTAGAGGTTACATAGGGGTTACATAGGGGTTACGGGGGGTTATACAGGGCTTGGGGTTCCTTTTCTGGCCACCCCAAGCCTGGCCCAGGGTCCTGCACACTTGGTGCCCCCATGTCCCATCACCCCCATATCCCCGTCACCTCAATGCTCCCCATGTCCCCATCACCCCCATATCCCCCTCACCCCCATGTCCATCACCCCCATATCCCCATCACCTCAATGCTCCCCATGTCCCATCACCCCCATGTCCCCATCACCCCCTTGTCCCCATCACCCCCATATCCCCATCACCCCCATGTCCCATCACCCCCATATCCCCGTCACCTCAATGCTCCCCATGTCCCCATCACCCCCATATCCCCATCACCCCCATGTCCCCATCATCTCAATGCTCCCCATGTCCCCATCACCCCCATATCCCCATCACCCCCATGTCCCCGTCACCTCAATGCTCCCCATGTCCCCATCACCCCCATATCCCCATCACCCCCATGTCCCCATCACCCCCATGTCCCCATCACCCCCATGTCCCCATCACCCCCAATGCCCCCCATATCCCTATCACCCCAATGTCCCCCATATCCCCATCACCCCCCAGTGACCCACATTGCCCCCCCCCAAGGCCTTCCTGGGCCCCGAGAACCCCGAGGAGCCCTACCTGGACGGCATCAACTACAACTGCGTGGCCCCCGGCAAGCGCTTCCGCCCCATGGACAACCTCTCGGGGGGGGAGAAGACGGTGGCTGCCCTCGCCCTGCTCTTTGCCATCCATAGGTGAGGCCCAACCCCCCCCCATTTTGATGCCCCCCCTCTTTTTGGGGTGTCCCCCCCCCCATCATCATCATCATCATCCCCCCCCAGCTATAAACCAGCCCCATTCTTCGTGCTGGATGAGATCGACGCGGCGCTGGACAACACCAACATCGGCAAGGTGGGGGTCCGGGATGGGGGGGACACCCCCCCTATGGGATGTGGGGTGCTCCAATTGATAGAGATGTGGGGCGGTCCCATTGA